TAAATGAGATGAAAATTTTAGAGTGCTTGATGTATAAATATATTCATTATTTAAGAAACCTATGTGAGGTTTCAATTGATATGTAATAGATGTTCATTAAATGTGAGTTCCCTTAAGGCCCATCAGTCACTGACACAAATGTTGAAGGCACTGGAGCTCCTGCTGACCCTTGTGGAATGTGGGTAGAGGTCTTTCTCGGGTTAAATCATTCTTTTAATTTCTTTAGATACATACAGGGTCTGGCACAAATAATGCCCCTTTTATTACAAACTCTTTTATTACAAATCATAAGTATGTAATTTTCTAACATAACAATAGCATACTCAAGCACATCTATGACATTTTAGGTGAAATGTTCAAATTAAAACCATAAATTATCACACCCATGTTATTACCCTACCAACCACACTCAAGCAGGCCTTACTTCTGCCAGACCCTGTATAATTATTCAAACAACTAAAGACCTTGCTGAGTTCAGGATACACTATACCAGCTGCCGATGTAATAATCACATCAAAAGAGGAAATTAAATTAGGTTGCCTAGTTTTTTCTTGAAGTATTCATTCTGGTTCTTTTTTTTAAATGTCTTTTAAAAGATTTTATTTATTTAATTTTAGAGAGGGAAGGAGGGAAGAAAAAGAGAGAGAGAGAAACATTAATGTGCAGTTGCTGGGGGCTGTGACCTGCAACCTAGGCATGTGCCCTGACTGGGAATTAAACCTGCGACACTGGTTCGCAGCCTGCACTCAATCCACTGAGCTACGCCAGTCAGGGCTCATTCTGGTTCTTAATGATCATTTTCCTTCCAAAATTCCAAAAATGTTTGTTCTTTAGCAAAACTGTCTAGAACTTTCCAGTGGTTAATGTCAGGCTTTGTCTGATTTTTAGCACCTTCCTACTAGAAAAATCAAGGCATTTGCCCCATCCAGTATTTTCTTAAGATTTTATATTTATTTATTTTTCGAAAGAGGGGAAGGGAGGGAGGAAGAGGGGGAGAGAAATAGCGATGTGTGGTTGCTTCTCATGTGGCCTCCACTGGGGACCTGTCCCGCAACCCAGGCATGTGCCCTGGCTGGGAATTGAACCAGTGACCCCTTGGTTCATAGCCTGCACTCAATCCATTGAGTTACACCAGCCAGGGCAACCATCTAGTCTTTTGATACTTTTCTTATTCTCAGTGATTTAAAGAGATTTCAGATAATGGTCCTGCAGTTCTCTCCGTAAGTTTTCCCAGGGCCTATGCTGGCCTGCAGAAACTTCTTTGACATTGACTCTACCCTTGCCAATGTATGATGTAAACAGTGAGGTCTGCAAAGCCCCTGCCGTCCCTTGCTCCAGGAATAATCAATATTGATAGTTCATTTGAATTAATACATATTATTTAAATGTATACATACAAGTATACAAATTTTATGTCAAAATGGAATCACACATACTATGCTGCCAGTTGCTTTTTAATTTTTTGCTTTTTAAAAAATAGACTATATTTTAGAGCAGTTGTAGGTTCACAGGAAAATTAAACATAGAACTTTCTCATATATTCCCGAACCCACGCATGCAGAGCCTCTCCTATTATCAACTTAGTTAACACTCCCCGATAGAGTGGTGCATTTGTTACAGTTGTACCTACGTGGACACAACATTATGACCTGTGGCCACACTTTATATTTGGACTCACTCTTGGCATTGTACATTCATTGGTTTTGGGCAAATTTATAATGACAGGAACCCATCAGTGTCATGTGGAATTGTTTAACTGCCCTAAAAAATCCTCCCTCCTCTCTAACCCTGAGGAACCACTGACCCTTTTATTGTCTCCATAGTTTTCTTCCAGAATGTCATAAAGTGTGAATCATACAGTATATAGCCTTTTCTGATTGGCTGCTTTCACTTAGCAATATGCATTTCAGTTATCTGAGGGAGGACGGGACCTGTTATGTCTTCATGAATAATTGACCCTTCACCATTATGTAATGTCCTTTTTATCCCTGGTCATTTTCCTTGGTCTTACATCTGTTTTGCCTGAAATTACATAGCTGTTTTCCCTTTCTTTTCACAAGTGTTAGTCCTTTATAATGTTCCTTCTCTTTAAAAAAACTTTTTAAAAACAATTATTGCATGGCAGGTATACTGGCAACAAATTTTCTCAATATTTTTTGTCTGAGAAAGTATTTATCCTTCGCTTTTGAAGGATAGTTTTGCAGTATACAGAATTCTAGGGGTTTTTTTTCTCTCAACATTTTAAATACTCCACTCTCTTTTGCTTGTATGGTCTTTAAGGACAAATCAGATGTAATTCTTACCTTTGCTTCTCTATAGATAAGATATTATTTCCTCTGGCATCTTTCAGGATTTTTTCTTTATCTTTGATTTTCTGAAATTTAAACATAATATGACTAGGTGTGATGTTTGTTTGTTTGTTTGTTTGTTTTCCATTTATCCTGCTTGGTGTGCTTGGAGGTTCCTGAATTTGTACTTTGGTGTCTGACATTAATTTAGGGCACGTTTTTAGTCACTATCCATGTCAGTAGATATTCTGTAACCAAAACATCTGTTTTAATGACTATTCAGATCCTTCACCTTCTCCTTTTTTTGGCTACTCAAAATGTTTTAAGCACAAACAAGTACAAATCCTGCTTGTTTTAAAATGTGATTATAATTCCTATCAGTCACCTTTTGCTCCTCTTATTTCCCGTAGACATCACAGGGGACTTACACTTCAGTTTTAGAAATTGACCCCAGCTCACACCATACCACTCACAGGTCCTCCGTTCAGGCCCAATGAACGTTTCCAAGCACAGCCAGTTTGCTCTAACAACTACTTGCTATACAAGCCCAGTCAATACATCCTCTTTCATCTGGCAATTGGCAAGGCAGAGGACCCACATCTTGTCAAAGAACAGCTCAGATACTTAGTTAGATATCTGTATGCAGGTTCTTTTATACACGAGGGAGATTGTTATTACACTGTTGTCAACACACAAAGGCAAAACCAGGATTTATAAAAGAGATGGGAGGGAGGAAAACATAGAGTTTGGGACAAATAAGGGTTTTTCTTGATTAAGTGGATTAGCTGGAGGGCATTAAAGAGGCAAAGTATGGAAGGCCAGCGTGGAGTATGCTGACTGAGTCATCATGGAAGACAATTTTAGATATTTGTGAATTTTCTGAAAAGCCTTCGGAGTTTGGCTTTGAAGCATGTCTGACAAGCTGTCTGGTGCTTTCCGTGAGCCACTCGCACGCCCACTTCAGGTAAGCCAGGTTAGTCCCATTCATTTCTCTCAGCAGAATTTCTCATTCTCCCTTTTGGTCAAAATTAGCTCCTAAAGGAATGGATTCAGGCATGAGGATTTCATTCTTCTTTTGAGCAAATATCATCAGTTGGATAGGACATGATACTAATGTCTCAAACTTACTATTATAAATATGAGGAAATACCAGAATCTTTGAGACAGACAGAAATAAACAAACAAGATTAGCAAGCTCATTTTTCCTGTTGTCTGCCATCTGCCACAGAACAGGTCCCACTGGTAGAAATCACTGCCAATGGTCAGACGACCAAAATCCCACATCACTGACACCAGAGGGCAAAAATACTCACTAAATGCACATCTGAAAAAGGACTTGGCTTGTAAGAGCTAAAAAACTCAATCACTATCTGCAGCGCTCACCACAGGAGCCAGGGAAAGTGAGCTGCGGACCAGAGGGATCCAGGCTGGGACCAGGTGCACCTTCAGGCTACGTGTTTCTCTTGGGGTAGGACTCGGGTGAGAAAAGTCTTGATAAAATTGTCTGGGTAGTTGTGGAGCTCTCTTTGTCCTGAGTCCTGCCTCCTGCTTTCTATTTTCTTGGGGGATTTCATTCAGCCCTTTGCCACTGCTTCCCAAGGTAATTCCAAGAATGACGGGCTGCCTTACTCTCTGTGAAGGCCGGAATTGCATTGGAAGGCTTCCTGTCAGCTCTTTTTAAGTCTTCCATAGGTGAAAGCTCAGGGTGCATAGGGGTTTTCTCTCAGCTCTCCTGACTGCTCCCTCCCATTCTGCAGTATTGCAACACTAACTTCAGCAGCAGTTGGTGAAAACCAGTGTGGCAAAGAGCCGGGGACAGTGCAGTTTGACTACTTCTGAGGCTCTTCTAGATTCTGTTAGGCCAGCCCCACACGTGGCCCGGAAAGTCATTAGAAGCTGCACCAGTGAAGGCTAGATGACTGGTTTTAATTAAATTAATTGATTCATTGATTGATTAATTTTAAAAGAACATTTGCTTTACTAAGGGAAGTGGGTAATGAAGAATTGTTGTCTAATGGTTATTGAGTTTCAGTTTTGCAAGATGAGAAAGTTCTGGAGAGGGGTCATACAACAGGGAGAGTATATTTAGCACTACTGAACTGTACACTTAGAAATGGTGTAAATTTCACATCGTGTTTTTTTACCACAATACAAAAATTTGCTTTAAAATATTATTACATTAATAATACCTGATAATTATGGAAAAGCCAGAAAACACAGACAAGCAAAACAGAAATTAAAAATTACCTATAATTCTACAGCTAAGGTTAATGTTTTGTGCATAAATATATAAATTATACATGTGTAGGTTCACACTGAATATGCTATTTCATAACCTCACTTTTGCAAAGTTTACACTACTTTAAACCATATTTTAAGTTCTGTGTTCTAGGATGTTTCACTTAAACAGAAGTGAAACTGCACGTTTAGGGGTACACACCCCTCCACGGAGGCTTCTCCCTTTAGATCCTGTGTCCTCAGCAGAAGGAAAGGTTTCTCCATGCCTGACCTGTCAGTCAGCTCTGCTGACACCTTTCGGTTGTTCCTTTTAGATATGACCACAGCTAGGCGGGCTTCTGGTCCTTGGGGACCTGGTGCATGGACTTGTCCCAAGTATCCTCAGTCACATGCCTCACCACTGGGATCATGTAAACACACCTTTCAGCGAGGTTAACAATTAAATTGTTGAGATGAAAGGTCAGGAGACCTGCCTTGAATTGAACATCAGAATGGGAGATGACACATCGCTACTCACCTTCCACCTTCTCTGAGGAAAAGAGTCAATAAGAAACAACAGTCATACGGGAGTCCGCATTTCAGAAGACCTCCAGGAATCATGCTGGAGAAGTTCTGCAACTCTACTTTTTGGGTGAGAAATTATACTTATCCTCTTCTCAGACTCAGAATAAGTAGTGGATTAGCCTAGAGCAGCCACTAATAAGAACTAGAGAAGTTATATATGCCTTTGCTCTAAAGTAACTCTCTCTCTCTCCCTTCAGGGTAAAGCTCAGGGTATTTTTTAAATAAAAGAATGTCATAATATCTCCAGAAGCCATTCTATATGGGAGAAGTAATGTATTTCTTTTATAGCATATATTTATGGTATCCCTGACTCTTTTCTTGGACAAGCTATCTACAAAATTGCCTCTCTAAATAGAAATAGGGAGATGGCTTCCAGTTTCATCCATGTTAGGAATGGGAACTGAGTAATTTGTGGGGTAGGAGGGAGAAGAGAAGGTCTGTGATTGAGCCCTGCTGAGATATGTTCATGCTGAAGCGGTAATGCTTTGTTCTAGAGGAGCTGGCGGTCAGTGATATGGACTGGAAGGTGAGTCCAGGGATGCACATGTGGGCATCATGAGCACTGAGACAAAATCAAATGGTTTAGTGGGAGAGAATGAGAAGGGACCTTGCATTTAGTGATCTTGTGAAAGTGTGCTCTGCAAACTCTTAGCATCAGCATCAGAGTTACCCAGATTGTTAAATAGTTTAAATATCTTAGGTAAGAAGTCTTAATTCTAAAGTTGGATAACCTCAAGGAGAGTTAAGAACAGGAATGAGAGAGCAGAGCACATGGGCAGCACTGCCCAATCTTAGAAAGACCCTGGGCCCCCATGCCCTCAAGGCCAGGAAACGTGCACCCCAGGAAGGTAGGGCTTAATAGTCCAACCTCTGAGAATTCTCTGGCAGATCATCTCAGTCAGAGTACCTCAACCTTTTCCTTAAAGAGCCTGGGCAAACAGTCATACAAAACAATTCAAAAATATTTATTAGGAGGAAAAATCTACCCCACATGACTCAGATATAAAAACTAGTGCCCCCACCTCCACTCACAAGACCCTTCTCTTTATTGTGGAATGCAGACCAGTACAGGACTTGCTGGAAATGAACCTTCTGGCCATTAGCATCATTGCTGCTTCTGTGCTGAAGCCCCCCTGGGGTTCTGACATAAGCCTTTGGAAGTCTAAATGTCATAGTATGACCAAGCATGCCTCCTGCCCTCTTTTTTACCCTCACTGGAGGATGTATTTATTGATTTGAGAGAGAGAGACAGGAAGGAAAGGAAAGGAGGGAGAGAGAGAGAGTTTGAAAGAGAAACATGGATGTGAGAGAGAAACATGTGCCCTGACCAGAGATCAAACCCGCAAAATTTTGGTGTGCGGGACGATGCTCCAATCAACTGAGCCACCTGGCCAGGGCTTCCTGTATGTTTGAATGTCTTCCAGCAAGTTCATTCAGTGCTAAAAACTATAATAAGAAATTTTTACATCCCAAGGAACTATTTTCCTCTTTGGATTAAGGAACCATCCCTCTTCTTCCCACAACTTGGCAAACACAATGGTGAAGTTTAGTCAGAACAACTGGTGGGGAAATTTGCTTAGAGTCTCAGGAAAGAAAGGTCTTTAGAGGTTGAATTGGTCAAAAAGTCATTAAATGTCATTAAATGGTCAATTTATATCAATGGAAATGAATAGAAAAATATGGCTAACTAAAGGGTCAGGCTGGATATAGACATAGAACTGAGTTAAAATTGTTTTGAAATGGGTTGGGTATGGAGGGTATGGGCTATGGCTGGTCTTTTGTCTTCAAAACCTTGTAACCACCAATCACCACATTTTGGTCTCCCAGAATGCCTCACTGCTGGATAGCCCGGAGGCGGACCTGCCGATTTGTTTTGAGCAAACTGTTCTGGTCTGGATTCCCTTGGGCTTCCTCTGGCTCCTGGCCCCTTGGCAGCTTCTCCATGTGTACAGATCCAGGACCAAGAAATCTTCTGTAACCAAGCTCTACCTTGCTAAGCAGGTATGGAAATCCCACTGTTTTCTGACTGATTCCGTGGTGCACCGTAGAGACATCTTCCTGGTGGTTAAAGTGTCTTCTCTGTCCTTAACCAGCTTTTCCAGGAGCTGTTGTCTCAGGTAGAGCCATGTTCTGAGTGTCCCTCCTCCACCTGCCCTATGCTTCTCTGGTCCCTTGCTGTATTTCCTACTTAGAGTGACTTTTTGATTTTTGCAAAAGAATAATGACTCAGAAATCTTATGGATAGTGGACACCCTAAACACCAGTAATGGGTACTCAATCAGTAAAATATGTAAGTATTACCTTTTCAGTGTCTGAGAAGCTAACACTGGTTTTCCTATCTCTAAGCTATTTCAATGTATCAGGAGACTGTAAATCAGTTGGCACCGACCACGAGGTGAAAATGAACTATGTAGTGTGCCCTCTGCACCGTTCAGGCGATCCAGCCATCACCGTCTGCCTGTCCCAACTTGGGTCTGAAATGCGGCTTTCATTCTCCCACGGTCTTCCATAAGTCTAGGTGATCACTCACAGTAGAGGGAGGATCTAGGGCATGCTCACAGTGACATGCCTGAGTAAGGAGACAATGGGAAGAGCAGGGCCCACAGAAGAGAGCCCAGCAGCAATGAGGGGAGGAGCCCCTCAGCCAGCTGCACTGATTAATGTAGAGAGTCTTGTAGGAAATGAAAGACCCTCATTTGAGGTTGCTACCTCAGAAGATTAACCATCTTCTTCTTTTCACTAGGTTCCCCCCCCACCACACCCCCTCCATCTGATCTTTACACAGGATTAGAAAGGCAAGTTAGACTCAGAGTTCTGTGAGCACACACATCTGTGACCTCAGGCTACCTGCACTGAGAAAGGAAGGAAGAAAGGAACTTGGCCAAAGGAAGTGGGATTTGTGTTGACACACTGAGATGGGGCTGGTGGGGCTCTGCATGGGGGGAGAACCGTGTCTGAGAGCTGGGGGCAGGGTCACCTAACTGCACAGCACAGGGCCTAGCACTTAGTAGGCATCGTTGAACGTTGGTATTAAATGCACTCTAGAAATAAGGGTTGAGACAAGAATGTTTTAGACTCTGAACATTGAACATGCTTCAATACCCTTGGGAATGAGTCAGAGCTTTTGGTCAGAGTCAGTGTGTGAGCCAGGGAGCAACCCAAAAGGAGTCACTCAGACATATTTGTGTCTTCCCACGATGCCGGGTTTATTAGATGAGTCCTCCCTAATAAACCAATAAAGTCACATGCAGATTGCACACAGAGAGGGGGAGCTTATGTGTTAGAAGTGAGCAGAGTGACCGCCTAGCATAAAGGCCCTGTCACTAGTGGTGTCTGCAGGTGGAGAGGTAGGTGTCTGTCTCAAGCCAAGTGGCTGCAGTGGCAACACATGTCTAGTGGAGTTGAAGTCTGGCCGGGCTCTGGGCATGACCCATGGCACAGCCAAGTTTGATCGTTGGTGGGGTGGTGGGAGCTCTGAGTTCTTATAACCCATGACAGGTGGAGGTCCCACTGATATTGGTGTGCAGATGGGGTCCTTACCCAAGTGTCCAAACTTGTGGTTTGGGCATTCTGGGCCCCTGCTAAGGATGTTGCTGTTATAGCCTGTTACTTCAGTCTTGAATAGCACTTGACATACCTGTCATGGCTGACCATAATTCCACACTGGACTGTTGAAAGTGTCTGAAAGGTACACCCTGTTCTTGTTGTATACAATCAGTCAAGTCTGCGGTGCCCAAAAAAAGCCCGGGTAATGAGTAGATCAGTATTCCATCATAATCACAGCTATTAGTTAACTTTTAAAAAACACCTTTCTTGAGATGTAATTCAATACAATTCTCCCGTTCAAAAACAATTCTATTTTTCCAAGTATATTTACAGATAGGAGCAACCATCACCCCAGTCAGTTTTAGAACACCTTCATTCCCCCATAAAGAAATCCCTTATCTCCTCGCCCCCCTTAGCTCCACGTAACCATCAATCTACTTTCCGTCTCTACAGTTTCCCTACTCTAGACTTTTCATATGAGTAGAATCATATGTGGTCTTTTATGACTGGCTTCTTTCACTTAGCATAAGGCTTTCAAGGTTCGTCTATATTGTAATATTTATCAGGACTTCATTCATTTCTTTTAAAAATATTTTATTTATTTTTAGAGAGAGGGGAAGGGAGGGAGAAGGAGAGGGAGAGAAACATTGATGTAAGAGACAAACATTGATTGGTTCTCTCTCCTATGTGCACTGCCTGACCAGGGATGAACCTGTGACCCAGGCATGTGCCCCTGACCGGGAATAGAACCAGCAACCTTTCACTTTGCAGGATGACGCCCAACCAACTGAGCCACACTGGTCAGGGCTCCTTTGTTCTTTTTTTTCAAATCCTCACCTGAGGACACATTTGTTGATTTTAGAAAGAGAGGAAGGGAGAGAGAGAAACATCGCTGTGAGAGAGAAACATTGATTGGTTGCCTCCCACATGCACCCCAAGCAGAAATGGAACCTAGGTGTGGGCCCTGACCTAGGAGTGAACACATAATCTTTTGCTGTACGGGGTGACACTGTCCGGCTGAGCCCCCTGGCCAGGGCCGCACTTCATTCCTTTTTATGGCTGAACAATAGTCCACTACATAAACATATCACATTTTGTTTAACTTTCATAAACACAAATCTCTAGAGAGAAAAAGAAAAGCAATGTATTAGGTTTTTTTTTCCCACAGAGAATAATCCACTCACCATTGCTCAAAGTCTCAGGAGCTCCACTTATAATTCATACTTTACTTTTTGCCCTCTACCATGAGAGTGACAAACACAGATTAGCTTTCTCTTAAAAATAAAAATAACAAGTCTCTTTTCTGAAAAAGTCAGAAGTCTAATTCCCCACAAAGCAAAACTATGCCTTGCTGCAAGAACCTTCTTAACACCTCAACGTGATTGTGTTTTTTATTCCTCTGCTTCCTCTTCTACCTGCCTGTGGGCTGTTTGCTCCTCTCACTCTCCTGAACAGCTGTTACTGCCGTTCTTGTTTAGTCACTAATGCAGCATTCCCCTCATCTGAACTTGGTCCATTTGCTTGACCAAGCCGGTGAGAGGCTCTGCAAATTTATTTGTTTAAAGGTACATCTTGCCCTGGCCGCTGTGGTCCAGTTTGTTGGAGCGTCATCCGGTAACTGAAAAGCTGTGGGTTCTATTCCCAACCTGGGCACATGTAGGAGGCAACCAATCAATGCTTCTCTCTCACATGGATGTTCTCTCTCTCCCTTTCCCTCTCTCTGAATTAAAAAAAAAAAAAAGTGCATCCTTACTGAAAGGACCTGATGCACAGTAGGTAACTGAATGTATTGAATTACAAAATGAGTGAATGAATGAATAGATGAATGAATGAGTGGATGAGCTCATAGTCTAGTGGAACAGAAGAGGAATCTGGTTCTGGAGGATGTGGAAGTGCTGAGGTGTGAGAAAAATGTGTGGCACAAATGAACGTGATGTATAGCCAGTGAGACGTGAGAATCACCTTCAGATATTTGCAGAAGTATAGAAGATTGCCTAGCTAGTTCTGAAGTCTCAGAGAGCAAGATCAAGGTAAATGGGTGGAGGTTGTTCTAGGGGAGTGGACTTTGACTAATATACAAAAGAACTTGCTAATAATAATAGCCGATAATAGAATGGACTACTGGGGATATGGTCCCTGAAACATCTGTCTGCCAGGGAAGGGGTGGAAGCTGACGCTCTGCAGTGGGTGGAAGATTCCGCCAGAGCACCGTGTCATTCAGAAAGTGCAGGTGAGAGGAGGATTGGGGAGAGAGGGAGCGGTGTTAAATTCAGCCAAACCACTCCTTTCTTTTTTAGTACCAATGTGCTTGTATCTCCTTAGGAAGTGGAGTTTAGTAAACAACATGGGCGCTTGAAATTCTTCCAATAAATCAGAGATCAAGGGCAAAGTCCGTTAAGGACTTGATAATCATTAACCACAAGATACCCCTGATGCTATGTAAGCAAAGTGTGTCTATGTTTCTGATTATAAAAATAATGCATGGTTATTGTAGACAGTTTGGGAAATAGGAAGAAAATTAAATCTGTTGATAATTGTGTCACTCTGATATACTCTTGTTAACATTTTGGTATGTCCCCTTCTGTTCTCTTAAAAAAGAAAAGAAAAAGTCTCTCACCCTAGCACCTCCCAAGTCCGACTGTCCAGACTGCAATTTAAAATTATTTTGATGGCTACCTCCATATTTGCAAATAATGTATTTATACCTGTATTTCTTGATCTATCGATTTAAAAAATCTATTGCTGCTCTCATTAACACACCTCTGAGCTTCCTTTTTCTCTCCTCCTCTTTCTCTTGGTCTTTTAATTCTGTACGATTATGTTCAGTTCTTCTGGTGGTTGCTTTTACACCTAAAAATAATCTGCCATCAATTTTAGACTCTACATCCTGATGCTTCTTTGTGTAAGATGACAGAATCAGTGCCCGCACATTTCTTGGATTCCTCCACTAAAAATTTCAGGAAGTGCAGTGATAAAGAAAGTCTCCAAGGATTCACTTTCTGAAAATGTTTGTCTGCATATGGAATGCTTACCTCTGAAGATGTCACTATATTGTTCCCCAGAATCCTGAGCTACCAAACTAGGGTTTTTCTCATTCCTTGTTATCCTCTCTAGAATCTTTTATTCTACTTATTCTTGATGTCCTGAAATTTTACCGTCTGTTTACATGGGTCCCTTTTTATTCAGTGTGTTCTACGCTCTCTTCCTAAGCACCCATGTCTCTCTTACCTCTGGGAAATTTGCATACGTTACTCCTTTCATTTTCTTCCCTCCAATTTTGAAATTCTGTTTCTCCATCTAAACTTCTTTTAAGTGGGTATCGGACTCTGAATTGATCCTCCTTCTCAAATCTTTTCCCCTATGTTCTGAGAGATTTCTCCACTTTTCTCTTCCTGTCATTCTAAAGAGCTTTTATTTAGTTAATTAATCACAGGTTTGACTTTTAAGAATTCTTC